TCAAGGCTGGTTCTGGTGTCCTTTTGACATGTCTCCAAGATTGTTTGTATACCTCCTTTCTTTCTGGCATAATAAGATGATCCAAACTCATTTGCATTTTCTTTGCCCCATCTCTGTAATCAGTTATTTCTCCTGATTTCTGTAAATAGAGATTGGTATGGAGAAAAAAAATCTTGGTTTTATTTGCTCACTGCTCTGACTTCTCATAGCTTTTTATGTCCCCCAGCAGACAGACATAGGAAATATAAAATGGTACAGTCTGATGATATGAAATAATGTGCTCCCACTTACCTCAAGGGACATAGAAAGAAAAGATGAAGTGATTATTTGAGGTGAAGAAGAGAAACCAGTTACTACATCACAACTATATAGGACTTAAATTCTTTCTTCCATTTTGCCTTTAGTTAATATTTTGAACAGATAATTATGGTACCATCCAAAACCTTAGAAAGCTAAGATTTCAGTAAGCTTTGGAAAGTTCCATGGAAAAGAAGATTACTAATATTCTTACTTGCTACATGAACCATATTATTGTTTGGTATAGAAATGAGACAACTAAAACAACACTTTTGATCACTGATGCAGCGCTATTTTTTTTAAAACTTGTGTTACTGCAGACTAATCTAGAAAGAATGGGGGAAAGATCTTAGAGCATCTCAAAAGACACATAAAGTATTTAGTTTGATGAAAATTCATGTTATACATTCAGAAATTCTTGACTGAGATATTAATTTTAATAGCAATTCTTTTATCATTGATTTTTATCTTTAAGGCTATGCCACTCTTACAAAATGGATTAGTGTTTAGTTTACAAACATTGTAAGAAACCAGATAGATGGAACATTTAGAAGCTTAACTCCCCCTCAGATTAAACATTAACTCATACCAGTGAAGATTTGTACATTGAAAGGATTAAAAATCTCCTCTAGGATCAAATACTGGGTTTAGTTGAAACCTAAGAATCATTATTGAAGAGCCGCTTATGCAGGTTAGCTAACAGAAGAATGAGTGAAATCTCCAAAGAGATGCTAGCACAGATCTGAGACAAATGTTAATTATGTAGAATATAGAAAAGATGGGCTGAATCTTCTGTAACATCTAATAAAAAAATAGGGGTGAAATGCATCATTTAAGTGATGAACAAATCTGGGCACTTTGAAAAATGGACTTAAATACTCAGTGAGTTTATAAGGCTTTTTTATATTTTCATAGCCAGTTTTACATGGGATGATATAAAGAAATGAAGAATGCACATCTGCCCTCTGAGATATATCTACAAGATTTTACTAACCTCCCTTCAGGCCCAACAAAGTTGTTTCTATAGCTTTCAAATATTATACATCCTTTCATGTGTTGTACAGTTGTCAAAGTTAAGTAAATATGACTTACTGGCTACATATATTTCTCTTTAATATCTCTGACAGTTTTGACTACTTTATTGTTTCTGAGAAACCTCATATCCTTCCCCTAATGTCAACTGAATCTTACTCAATCTGTTTATCCACACCGGGCTACCAGCTGACATTCGAGAACACTACTCATTGGTCAAATCAAACTCTGCAAGGAGTATTTCTTCCTCAGCAACACATCAATCCCTAACGCCCCTAAGGCTGTATCAGAGTGAATCCTGCTTCATCAGTTCACCTCTAACAGTGAGTAGTAACAGGGTGGACTTAGGCTCTTTCAAGTCTTACCCTCTCTACAGCACACAAACACATTTAATTTTTTCTCCTCAGTTTTCTGGGCTTTTTCCCCTCTCCTTTTATTTTAGACTTCAGTGCAAGAATAAGGAGAAACAAGATGTCCTTTCTCTCTACTCTTACTTTCTCCTATATTCATCATGAAGGTATATACAAGTCTTGCCAATGCTGAGTTCCTGTATGAATCCACCCCTTAACCAACTCTTCTCTTGCATCTGTGACAAGCAACTCATGATTTTCTCTTAAAGCTGTGCAAGACAGACTGAACTATTAATAGCAAAGAAGTGGTATTCAGAATGTTTGTGTAGACTGCCTGATACGCTTTCAACTTTTCTTAGCATTCAGTGACTGGAATTTGTGTTTTCTAAGTGGTTGTTTGGGGGCATTGTGGGGTGTCCAGTGGTTTGTGATATTGACTCATTTTCATCTTTGCTTGCATTTCAACTATAGTTTCTATTTGTGAACTTCTGCATTTGTCCATGTTATACAGAAAAAATGCTGCCACACCACACTCCACAGTATGAATTCTTCAAGGTTTTTCATGCATCTTTGTGATGCCATGTCAAAATAGCTCTACAGATATTGAAACCATTCTTTGCAGGTTATCAGTCTATTCTGTTCTCTGTCCTCAATAGCTGAGGTTCTGTGGACTGCAACTTGAGTGAGATAACTACTAGCAGGTTGGTAGAACTCTAACTGAATCTTCAATTGAGAGGCAAATTGTTTGTTTACTTACCAAGGCTTGTCCCACTCTTTTGTGACCCTGTGGACACATGGGGTCACACGTCAGGCTTCTCTATATATGGGATTTCCCAGGCAAGAATGCTGGAGTGGGTTGCCATTCCTTCTCCAGGTGATCTTCGCCATCCATGGATTGAACAAACATCTCCTGCATTGCAAAACAGCATGCCCCAAAGGCTTCTCTGAAAGTTGAGATAAAACATCAATTGAAACAAAGATAGTGAATTAACATTATTTTGATTGTCATTTTTGGAAAGGCTAGTTTGTTAAAATGTGGATTTCCAAGTCACACTGCCCAGAAATTCTGATTCTGCCAGTCTGAAATAGGGCCTACAGTATGAAAGCTTGTCCAGATTCCCAGGTGATTCTAATACTCTTCCTTAGAAAACTAAGCCTAACTTTTATCTCCCTTTAATGATAAGCTGGTCTTTCTCAGGTGGTTCAGTACAAAGAATCTGCATGCAATGCAGGAGATGCAGGTTCAGTCCCTGGGATGGGAATATCCCTTGGAGAAGAAAATGGCCACACACTCCAATATCCTTGCCTGAAAAACCTCATAGACAGAGGAGCCTGGCAGGCTATAGTCCATTGGGTCACAAAAGAGTCAGATACCACTTAGTGACTAAACAACAACAGAAGTGATCAAATGAGTTAGATTGTCTGAAAGGATTAAATGTTGCTTTGTGACTAAGTGATATTTGCAAAATTTTTAACAAATTCATTTTCTTGGTGTGCACAGAAATTTTTAAAAAGTACATAGCTGAAATGTATGCTGGCTCTAAATATAATATTATTACAACTTCTTGGATTCCCTCATCTATTTAATAATTAGAAATAGATTTCTTCCTAATAAAGGGCCCCTGGACAAGGGCTCTGTCCTTTCCTCACGCAGACCCATCAGCAAATCTTACTGTCTGACAAAAATAATTATTAATAGTAAAGTCTTAGATATGGATTTAAAAATAGAATAGATTTCTCTTTTGGAGCTAATGAAGAAATGTTTGGCAGGCATGATTTTTGAAGATGCATCTTTAGACTGCTTCCAATTTTTGCCATTTTCTTTTTTAGACTTATTTCAGAATTCTGATTCAAAAAGCAAAACAAAACTTCTATTGGAAAATACAATAATTACCAAATAGTATCTTGTGAAGGAATATTTCCAATTTAAATCCAATTGGTATTTCTCCCACAGAACATATACCACAATTCATTTGAAAGAGCATATCAGATCCAAGAACCTCAAAAGCTTCTTTCAGGCATAGCAGATTCTTCATGTTCCAGAAGAAAAAGTGAAGTTAAAAGTACATTTATTAAAGAAATGTCTACTTCTAAAACAATAAAAAGCATGTAATGTGTAAACATATAAGATCATAGGAAACTGTATGATAAAATGTTTAAGACCATGGACTCTGTTGCCAAATTGTCTGGCATAAAATTGAAAGGTTGTTGCTGAGCTGTGAACAATGCTGAGATTCTTGGCCTCCAAAGGAGAATTCAATCCAGGGCCAGTGACAAAGTTTGATTGCTCAGAACTTTTGTGTAATAATGTTTTATTAAAGTATAAAAGACATAGAGAAAGCTTCTGACACAGACATCAGAAGGGGGCAGAAAGAGTGCCCGCCTGCTAGTCTTCAGCAGTATGTTATATAGCTACTAGCAGTCAGCTAATTAAAAAAAATAAATGTCTCAAAACTCAGAGAAGGGCACCAGGCCCCTCACCCACAACATGCATTCGGAGATAACATTGGCACAGTGTGAGTTGTCCTGGACCATAAAATGATTGACATGAATCTTGAAGAAAGGCAGGTATCCAAGCAAATACAGTCTCATTAACATGGCTTAAGAGAACATTTGCTTGAGTAAAACATACTGGTTTGTCAAAGTCAGTTCTGAGTCTTAGGCAAGAACTGACTTAAAGACAGAGTCTAGGATAAATAGATAGTTCATTAACATAGCTTAAGATAAACATTTCCATAACAAAAATGCATTGGTTAGCTCAAGGTTTGAGGAAAGTTAAGTTCAGGTAGAACCAGGTGTCCTCCTTATGTCAACACAGAATTTTAAAAGAAATCTCTTTTAAAAAGAAATTCCTTTTTGAATTTGGATAGAGAAGGGGGACATATCTAATACTTGTAGTTTGTTTCCTCCTGCTGCTTAAGAGAGAGATTAAAAATGTCTGACACTTGCAGCCTATTTCCTCCGTTTGGAGACCCTGGCCTTTCTGCCTGATGCCCTCTCAAAATCTTGCAGCTCTGGTAACTGGGCCACTTTGAGCAGTTTGCTGATTTACTCACCTGTATGTTTGAAATCATGATAATATTGCCTTCAAGGCAAGCACTTTAACTTAGTATCTTCCTTACCCCATCTTTAACACAGTGGTAATAACAATATCTCTAGCAACAAAGGGTTCCTCTGAAAATTAAATGATATACTATATGTAAGCTGGTTTATCTGGTAAATGAGTTGATCCATATTGAAAATTCAGGAAGTCTTATTCATTATTGTAAATACTAAGAATTTGAATTGCATTCTATCTGTTTTTACTTGCAGGTGATAATGATGGATGATGAAGACACATATTTATTGAAATTTAAAGGCTATAATTTTGAACGTTCTTTGATTGATATTGACTTTCTAGAAAATCTAGATAACTTTGAAATTAGAGATGATGATGTCTTCACCATTACATACCCCAAATCTGGTAAGTCTGAGGAGTGGCCACCTATTTCATTCTTCACTCTGATTTGTGGACAGATGTACTCTTATCCAGACTTTGACAGTAGCCCAGCCAACAATTAGGTAACCATTTAGGATCAGAAGAAAAGTTAAACAAATCTCATATCTCTATCTTACAAGGTCATTTGAAATGCTTATATTGTCATCTCTGTTAGCACATATGAAGAAACCAAATAGGAAGTCAATAGGAGATACTTAGTAAATGCTGCCCTTGGTCTGAGAATGAAAAAAATACATTAAAAAAAAAAAAAGCAGGATTTTTGTTAGGAGCATATCTCAGTCAGAACTAATTCACGATTTCGAAGTTCTCTAATTGTTTTGTACTTCCATATAATAAGAAACCCCAGTAGCTCAGATGGTAAAGAAACTGCTTGCAATGCAGGATACCTGGGTTCAGTCCCTGGGTTGGGTAAATTCTTTGGAGAAGGAAACAGCAACCTACTCCAGTATTCTTGCTTGGAGAATTCCATCAACAGAGGAGCCAGGCGGGCTATAGTCCAGAGGGTCGCAAAGAGTTGGACACAGTTGAGCAACTAACGCTTTCCATATAACAAGAAAATAAATTTCTCTAGGACAAATTGTCCTCAACATGAAATTTTTACAACATTTTTTTTTTATTTTGGGCTTCCCTGATAGCTTAGATGGTAAAGAATCTCCCTCAATGTAGGAGACCCAGGTTTGATTCTGGGGGTGGCAAGATCCCCTACAGAAAGGAATGACTACCCACTCCAGTATTCTTGCCTGGAGGATTCCATAGACAGAGGAGCCTAGTGGTCTACAGTCCGTGGGGTCCTAAAGAGTCAGACACAATTTTTCATATCAGACAATTTTTTATATTACACTGTTTAGAACATAAGATGACCGGGGCCACTGAAGCAATGTTGTATGAAGTGAATAATGTTCTCAAAGACACATTGGAATCTAAGTCAGTGGAAATAAAAGCATTCCTGATTTTTATGAAAATACTCCAACTCTTCCCTTTACCATCTACTTTGAAATTCATGACCTTGTTTACTTCCCTGAAATAGTAATACATCCATTTACCCCTTGTTTCTTCCACTCTGCACAACTATTAACACCTCTGATTGGTGATTATTTTTCCTCCCTTAGTTATTAGTGGCATCTCAGTTTGCCTAGCTTTAGTTCAAACACTGAAGTCTATATCTAGTTTTTCCTTTATCGTTAATTTTTCCTCAAGTATTTTGTCAAGAAATAATAAGTAAGCAAAAAAAAAAGTGAAAGAGGTCTTGAGCTCTTAATTCGTCTATTCTTTTAAATGACAAAGCTTCTATATGGAAGACAGCAAAAGAGATACAGATATAAAGAACAGACTCTTTGGCTCTGTGGGAGAAGGCGAGGGTGGGATGCTTTGAGAGAATAGCATTGAAACATGTATATTACCATATGTGAAATAGATAACCAGTCCAAGTTCAATGCATGAAAAGAGCCCTCAAATCGGGTGCCCTGGGACAACCCTGAGGGGTAGGATGGGGAGGGAGGTGGGAGAGGGGGCTCAGGATGGGGGACAAATGTGCGCGCGTGGCTGACTCATGTCAATGTATGGCAAAAACCACTGCGATATTGTAAAGTCATTAGCCTCCAATTGGAATAAATATATTAATTTTTAAAAAAAGATAAGAGACTAAGGAAAGGGAAACAGAGGTAGACAGAGAAAATTTTGGAAACAGACTTTACTTGAAGTAGAGGAAATAGAAAGAGCTGAAGGATGAATCTGATTCACTACTATTACAGAATCAGAATCCCCACAGCTCTTCAGAGTGAAAAAGGAAGTGAAAGCCCTTGATTTCATCTCTAATAATTTTAACGTAAAACACAAACAAACAGAACACTTGGATGAATTCACTGACATCTTTAGGGTGGTAAAAAGAAAGAAAAAGCTCCAAATAATTTTGAGATGGGTGGCATTATTATTGACATTTATTGTTCAAAATTAATTCAAGGTTGAAAACAAGATATATATTTTTACAAGTACCATCTGGACTCAGCAGATATTAAGCTTGATTTACTATGAGGGACATCGTAATAGAACTGAAACTGTGGAAACAATTGACAGAAGCCCCTTCCTGGAATACAATATCCACAACATAGACTATGAGAAGAGGCCATCCCCTCGCCTGTTTACCTCGCACCTCCCATACTATTTAGCACCGAAAGGTCTTAAGAACAAAAGAGCTAAAGTATGTCACACAAATAGCTCATGAAGCTTTTGAACAAACAAAGATAGTTTCTTCCTATAATGTCCTCCCAAGCCCACTCGTTCACATTCCTTCTAATGTGATGATTATCATCTTTCTGATATTGTTCTTAGTCGCTCAGTCCTGTCTGACTCTTCACAACCCCATGGACTGTATTCCATCAGGCTCTTCTGTCCATGCGGACTCTCCAGGCGAGAACACTGGAGTGAGTGGGTTGCCATGCTCTCCTCCAGGAGATCTTCCCAACCCAGAGATTGAACCCAGGTCTCCCATGTTGCAGGTGGATTCTTTAGAGTCTGAATCAACAGGGAAGCCCATGAATGCTGGAGAAGCCTATCCCTTCTTCAGGGGAACTTTCTGACCCAGGAATCAAACCAGGGTCTCCTGCACCACAGGTGGATTCTTTAGCACCTGATCTACCAGGGAAGCCCTGGTACTTGCTATACCCCACCAAATAAAAATATTACTTAACACATTAAAGCTGTATTTGAAATTGTAGCTATATACATGGATTAGGATCTCACACACATTGTTTGCTGTGTAATTACAAAACATATAGCAAAAATTATTTTGCCATCACATAAAATTATAGTCTTTAACAATTTAGTAGGATTTTATTCTATGACTATATATACAATATATATGATTGTGAATTGACGACCAGGTTAAGTTTTAGAAAATGTCTGTACTGTATTGCAATAAGCAGTCTTATAGATCTTCACACTTTTTTTGTTCTGATGAAGTGTTTCCCTTAAAGTGAAAATTTCAGCTTTAGATGCCCAAATTTTTAAATGTTGGTAGGTATTATCTACTTGCCTTATAAAATCTATCACTGACACTTCATCAAGTAGCATATGTTTTTTTCTTTACACACTCAGCAAAGAATGAAATTATAAATCTTTGCTAATGTGTTAGGTAAGAACAATCTTAATCTTGAGTAACTGTAGTCCTTTTTTTTAAAAATAAATTTGAGCCCCTTTCTGTTTATTTCTAGGCCTTGAAATATCCTTCATATCCTTTGCCTATCTTTCTTAAAATTTGTCTTTATTTACTGTTTGCTTGAAGCATTTATATGGGGTAAAAATTGTTCCACTTAAGAGTTTACCTTTTAAACTTGTTGAATGCTTTTAATTTCATGTAACCAACTTAACAATCTTTCCTTCATAGTATCTTGCTGTTGAGTTTGGTTAATAAATACTTCCCAGTCAGAAAGACTGTGCAAATACTTTCCAGTTTTCCACTCTGTTTTTATTTTTTATATTTAATTATAAATTATATTGGATATCACAGGTGATTTAAAATATGTTTATTGCATAATAATTGCAATGGGATTGGCCAATTGATACAATATGCTTTTAGCATTTAGTCTTTCCCTACTGTTTTCAAGTCTACATTTTGATATACTACTTCTATATTTCCATCCTCTGATTATTCATTCTTCATTCCCCAAATTAATAGATATATTTAATATGTGCTCATTCTTCACTGTTTTGAATGATGTAACTGATAAGGACAATCCCATGAAGTATATTCTTTAATAATAAATAATTCTTTAATTAAATATTCTTTAATATTTCCCAATATATTTAGATACTGATTAGCATAAATAAAATAAGATTAAGTCTGAGAAAATCAGTATCATTGCTCTTTTCCAGCAACTGCTCTTTTCCATCCAGCAATATCCTATTGCTCTTTCTTTATCAGATGTCTGGGCTTCCCAGGTGGCTCAGGGGTAGAGAATCTGTCAGCGAAGTAGCAGATGCGGGTTATATACCTGGGTTGGGAAGATCCCCTGGAGAAGGAAATGACAAACCTCTCCAGTATTCTTGCCTGGAGAATCCCCATGGACAGAGAAGCCTGGCGGGCTGCAGTCCCCCAGATCACAAAAGTGCTGGACATGACTAGGCAACTAAACAAAAGCAACATTTCTGTCCATCACGAGTGCTGTGATGCTCTTTGTATGCTTCCTACATTTTTTTTCCCTGGATTGCCAGTTTTTGGTTTAAATTTTACACATGTAATTAATTGGTTTTCATTATTGCCTTCTCTATTTAGCTATTACTGTTATAAAGTAAATGATACTGATCTTGTTACACTATTATATTTGGCTCCACAAATCTCTTCATTTGTTTCATTAATTTTCCCTATATTCTCTGAAATACATTTTATTTTAAAATAATAATATATTCTATGTTTCTCTGCTTTTCAATATTTGCACTTCCTTCTTTTCTGTTTCAGGACTTAAAAATCTGTAGAAGAAAAATAGCATATTGAGGTGAAGAGAAATATTATGTCCTTGACTGACATTTTTTAGTATACTCTTCTTGATTTTGTTTTCTGTTGCAATGATTTTGAGGTACACAATGCTGAGAAATACTTTCCCCCTCTTTCTCAGTACTCTTGAAATTTGAATTTTGTTCTTCAAACAGTTCTAATCACTTAAAAGTCCTTTTTTGGCACCCTATAGGTACAACATTTCCTCTTTCCCACCTTTAAACTAAAGCAAAAAGAAATTGGTTAGATATTTACTAATATTTTATTTCTGAGATAAATCTTACATTTTTATATTATTGTATTTTATTAACATTCTGTTAGAAGAGTTTTATTTTTTTTTCAGGAAATTTTATCTGTAATTATTTTTAAAAGACAATTTTCTATGATATTGAAAGATATTTGATTTTAATATTACTGTAAGTCAGTTTATAAGACAAATTTTGAAGCTTTTAAAATTTGGTTAGTTTTTCAAGTATTTTAAAATTACAAATAAGAATAATATTTTGAAGATTTAATTAAATTCCACTACAATATGTCTCATACTGATAGCTCTATAGTCTAAAACATTTTCCTTTTTTCAGTTTAATTTATTTATTTACCTTTCCCTAAATCATTAGTATAATTTTACTTTCAAAATAAATTATCATCCTTTCATCTATATTTCAAAACTTGGAAAAAACTGCAGCATATACTTTCATAAACTAATGAACGTTTATCTACTTCTATGGTTACATCTTATCATTCATTAGTAGCAGTGAAAATTTTTAGGTTCTTTCCTTTGTACATTTTTCAGACTATGGACATTTCCTTATTATATTGGGGTTTTTTTTGCTGCAAAGAACTAAAATTTTTAAACATAATTTAATATTCTCCACTTCATTGATTTTTGCTTTGATTTTAACTTTTTCTCATATTTTGTTTGAACATACTTTTGTCATGTGGTATCCAATATTTATTTGTTAAATATGGACATTTAAAAATGATGAACATCGATTTCAGCATTGCTATGGGTATAATATTGTTAGCATCAAAGTAACCTATCTTTTCATTTTTAATTTTCTCATTGGTTCAAATTATTCTGAAGAATTTTTATTTTCAAATAAAATGTTTATAAATATTTATAAAACTAAAATTGTTTTTCAGTGTTGGTAATTAATATTATGGAAGAGTAATTATGGAATCAGGTAATGGTATAGTAAGAATTCTAAGTTTTGAAATTCATTAAGAAGTTTTATGGCCAATTACATGTAGATCAATTTTTCAATACATTCCATGACTACATGAGAAAATAATGTATATTCTCCGCTTGGGGCAGCAGAAATTGAAAGTGTTAGTCATTCAGTTGCGTCCAACTCTTTGTGGCCTCATGGACTATAGCGTGCCAGGCTCCTCTGTTCCTGGAATTCTCCAGGCACGAATACTAGAATGGGTAGCCATTCCTTGTCCAGGGGATCTTCCTGGCCTAGGGATCAAACCCAGGTCTCTTGCCTTGCAGGCAGATTCTTTACCATCTGAGCCACCTTGGGATACTAACACAAACATATAAAATAAATTTTTCTAAATAATATTATAAATTTATTATGTTAATCCTTTATGCTTATGTCTGAAGATAAGTGTGTAAATTTTCATGATTGTTACTAAATTGAAATCTTTACAGAGTTTCTAGACATTGTGCTATTCACATTTTTCTATTAATGCAGTATACAGATTCCTATTCTGTTGGTCATTAGAACCAATTTTTTTATCATCCTATTAAAATATTTGGCTTTAAATTCTACTTAGCTATATATTATCAGTTGTTTTCCCTTTCCCTGAGGATTTGACATGTGTCTTTTCTTGTTCTTTATTTTCAATATTATTTTTGACTGCTGTATAATTTTGTATGTTATGTAAGTAATTCTATGAGACCCACACTTTTCCTTCATTGGATACTTAGGTTATTCTATTATTCTGTTATTCTGTTATTAGAACTTGCCATGTTACATTACATTCTTGAGCATGTCCCGTGGTGCACGTCAGCATGAGCTTCCCTAAGCACCCAAGAATAGAATTGCAAAGCCACAAAGGACAAAAACATTCAATTTCATAAAGTGATGCAATTTTTTTCAAACAAAGTTATTGCAGCATAAACAGTGAAAACTACAAAATATGAGTTTTTATTTTTCTTTTAGTATTTTTTTTCTATTGGATTTCCTAATTTTATCAATTTGGTGATTATAAGATGATATCTAAAATTGATCTTAATTTCCATTTATTTAATCAATAATGAAATTAAGCAGGTTTTGAAAACTTTATTGTCCATATTTATTTCTTATTCAGTGAAATTATTATAATTTTTGTCAGTTTTTTTATGTTACTTTTTCATAGAGATTTGTATACGTATCTTCTGTTTTATTTTGTTGTTGTTGTTCAGTCTATAAGTCATGTCCGACTCTGTGGGACCCCATGGACTTCAGCATGCCAGGCTTCTCTGTCCTATACTATCTCCTGGAGGTTACTCAAACTCATGGCCATTGAGTCGGTGATGCTGGCCAATCATCTTCTCCTCTGTCACTTCCTTCCTCTTTTTCCTTGAATCTTTCTCAGTATCGGGGTCTTTCACAATGAGTAGGCTCTTTGCATCAAGTGGCCAACATCAGTGCTTCTGATTTCAGCATCAGTGCTTCTGATGAGTTCAGAGTTGATTTCCTCTAGAATTGATTGGCTTGATCTCCTTGCAGTCCAAGGGACTCTCAAGGGTCTTCTCTGGCACCACAATTGGAAAGCATCAATTCTTTGGTGCTCAGCCTTCTTTATGGTCCAGCTCTCCCATCCATACATGACTACTGGGAAAAACACAGCTTTGACTATATAGACCTTTGTCAGCAAAGTGAACTCTCTGCTTTCTACAACTGCCTAGGTTTGTCATAACTTTCCTCCCAAGGAGCAAGCATCTTTTAATTTCATGGCTGCAGTCACCATCCACAGTGATTCTGGAGCCCAAGAAAATAAGATCTGTCACTGTTTGCACTTCTTCCCCGCTATTTGCTGTGAAGTGATGGGACTAGATGTCATGATTTTAGTTTTTGAATGTTGAGTTTTAAGCTAGCATTTTCACTCTCCTCTTTCACCCTCATCAAGAAGGCTCTTTAGTTCCTCTTTGCTTGCTGCCTTTAGAGTGGTATCATCTGCATATTTGAAGTTGTTGGTATTTCTCCCAGCAATCTTAATTCCAGTTTGTGCTTCATCCAGCCCAGCATTTTGTATGATGTACTCTGCATAGAGGGCTTCCTAGATAGCGCTAGTGGTAAAGAACCCACCTGCCAATGCAGGAGACATAAGAAAAGTGGGTTCGATCCCGAGTCGGAACGATCCCCTGAAGGAGGGCTCACAACCCACTCCAGTATTCTTGCCTGGAGAATCCCATGAACAGAGGAGTCTGGTGGGCTACAGTCCATGCGTTGCAGTGAGACAGACATGACTGAAGTGACTTAGCACACAAGCACTCTGCATAGAGGTTAAATAAGCAGGGTAACAACACACAGCCTTGATGGACTCCTTTTCAATTTTGAACAATCCATTGTTCCATGTATGGTTCTCTGCCTTTTCTGAATCCAGCTTGTACATCTGGAAGTTCTTGGTTCACATACTGCTGAAGCTTAATTGCAGGATTTTGAGCATTACTTTGGTAGCATGTGAAATGAATGCAATTGTATGATAGTTTGAAGTTAATTCTAGATACTAATCTATTCTTGGTATCTGTGCTACACTTATATTTTCTTGCTTTTTGTAAAGCTTTGGTACATTTTGATGAACAGCATTCTTATTTTAATGGAATCTGACTGATCCATTTATATGTATTTCTGTATGGGAATATTTTCCTGTTTGAAAAATAGTTTCTTTACACAAGGTCAGTAATACGTTCTTTATCTTTTTAGATTCTAAAAATTTGCTTTCAAAGTTAAATCATTTATCCTTTTGTAAATATGTTTCTATACATTGTGTGAAGTAGAAATCCATTTTTTAAACATGGATTATTATTTACCCAACATCATCTGTTAAGTAGATTTTCCTTTTCTCACTGATCTCCAATGATACCTTGTCTGTATATCAAATATCACTTAATGCTCACAGAGGGTATATGAAACCTCTTTTACAGAAGGTAATTTGTAAACTTAATCAACCTTACAATAAATAATTTCAGTTTTAGAAATTAGTCCTATATGCTCACAGAAGTGAAAATTCATAAGAATAAAGATTTTATTGCCATGATCCTTTTGATAGAAAAAACCTTGAGAACAAGTTAGTTTCTGTCAGTAGTAGCCTGGATAAAATAAATTACTTCACATTCATATAATAAAATACTAAGTAGGTATTAAAAAAATCTGTAAAGATAACCCAGAATTTTTCAAATTGTTCGTTATTCCCTCTGCAGGTAATTTATGTCTACAGGAACCCCAAGGATGTTTTGACCTCATTTTTTCATTTTTCTAAATTGTTGATTACATTAGAAACTTCAAATAACATAGGACATTTCATGGAAAAGTTTCTAGATGGAAGAGGTAACTATGAATTTATTTATCAAGCAACATGTTTATGAGGCCACGTTGTCATTTAGCCAAATTCTCAAACCAAGGGAATGTATTTAGTGAGAAGAGAAGGCTAATCATAATATGCTCAATATACAAAAGTGGTTGGTATTGGCTATCTACTTGCCACCCTATAGGTTTTTTTTTTTTTTTAAACTAGGACCACCTATACTGAGAATTGTCAGGGCTACACAGTGTATAAGAGAAACTTTGACCAGGGAATAGTAGAACCAGAAAAGGTCTAGATCCAAAGCTCATTCCAGAGTAGCTAATCTAGGTGTTGTTTCGTGCTCTGTGATGGTCCTGGGGTAGACCTTATCTGGCAGCTGTGGGATTCTCATTCCAGACCTGAGAAAGATAGACTGATGCAAGCGATTTGTGGAATGTGGGAACTGGGATTTCTCACATTAGAAGTTTATATTCATGTGCTGGTTTGTAGGTAAATAAAGTTGTTATCCACAGATCTTTAAACTGACAATAATAGGAGAAATAAAAATGTATGTTTTCAGGTGAAGGAGGCAGAAGAAGGAAGGGAGTGATCTTAACAAAATCTTAGTTCTTAACTAATCTTAGTTCTTACCTAAGAATTTAGTTCTTCAAGATTCTTTTCTCTGCATTGCTGCTTTCCTACAAACATAGAATAACTTGCAAAAGCAGTTTTCTCTTAAAATGATGCAATTGTTTCCCACAACTCCACTTTTTAAAAGATAGCATAGATGTCCTGTGGTTTGGAGCTTGGTTTGCCTTTGAAGGATTCTTGAACAGAAAAGACAGACTATAGCTTGTTATGTAATAAGTGTGACATCTTTACCTGCTAACTTATTAACTTTCCCACAGTGGTAGGAAGCCTTTGGTTTGACCACATCAGAGGCTGGTATGAGCATAGACATGACTTCAATATCCTGTTCATGATGTATGAGGAGATGAAGAAGGTAAGAGAAGAAAGTTATTTTTAAATTCTTTCTTAGAAATTCCTTCTTAAGGTTTCAATGAACCACGTTCTCCTACTTATCTTTGTGTGGTTGACTTTAAAAATGCACTATGTAAAAGCTGTGAGTTAAGTTTTATTTGGGGCAAAATGAGGGCTGCAGCCCAGAAGACAGCACCTCGGACAGCTCTGAGAAACTACTCCAAAGACTCAGGAGTGAAGGTTGGTATATGTGTGATTTTGGTGAAGGGGGATACATGCAATTGAGCACATGTTTTCCCAGTAGGTTTTTTCTAGTCTTGTGGAGCTTTTTCTATCCACGGGAACAGTCATCATCATGCAGGATTTTAGTGCTTTTATAGATATGAGAAGATACAAGAATTGGGCTCATAAAATCAGCTCCTGAAAATATCTAACTACCTGAAGACCTATCCTGCCAGTTTTTCCCTGAGCACAGAGTGCCTCATTTCTGGTCTCCAGCTGAACTCCTTTCAGGGCTGTTGAAGGTCAGCAGCTGTAGCAGCTCATGATTTAATCCTTGTAGAAGTAGATGGCAAGTGCCAATTTGTAGTGGACAGTATCTAACTACTTTTCAGGGTTATTTTTTTCTTGGAGGGAAGGGGTTTAATTTTCTGCAGCTCATTCATTACTGGCCTTCAATGCTCTCTTCTCACTGTATCCACTCCTCATTTTTGATTCCTCTTCATATAACCATCTGTCACAATAAAGGCATACTCAACTGTGTAGAGACTCATATTTTAAAATAGAGAAAGGGCAGTAGGCACCACAGAGGTGAAGAGCTACTAAAATAGGGCTAATTAACTGAGGTGAATGTGTGCTCTGTGATGCAAGCGCTTCCTGTTTGGTTTTTTTTTTTAAGAAAATCTTGAAACCAGCTTTCCTGCATAATCTCATAAAGTTTATTCTTTGTCATTCAATTAAAGGTGTCTTAAAATATTGCATAAACCAAACAGAACATGTTTAAGTTCACTATTTTGTAATCTGTGATTGATATGTTAATTCACTCAGACATCATTTCTTCACTCATTTCATCAAAAATTATTGAATGCCTAAAATGTGACAGACAGTAAATTATGAGAAAAAGAGAAGTGAACCTTTTATTTGCACAGTTTGTCATCTAACAGGAAAGACAGGTATTCCCAAGCAAATATAAATAATTAAAAACTATGATAAGTAATATTAAGAAAAACCGTTGATTTCATATAAGTATATAGAAGAAGAGGATCTGGTATCATCAAAGGTGATAGGCAGTGTTTTCTGAAAAAAAAGTAACCTGAAAACTGCAAGCTAATAAATATGTGTTAACAAAAAAGAGAGGCGGAAAAAGGAAGCCAGAGAAAGAGAACGTGCAAATTTTCTGACTCATTAAAGTGGATGAAAAATGAAGGAAGAAGAACAGGCAAAGTGAAAGTATTAAAAGATTGAGAGGCCAATAAGAGTCAAGCTGCTCAAAGACTGTAACAAATGGTGGTGATTTCTTTCAACTTAAAGGCAGTAAGAAGTCTTTTAAGAATCACAAGAAAGAGTGTTATGTAATGCAATTAATATTTTTAGAATATCATTCCTTTTTGTGGATTGAAAAAGATGGTAGTGAATACAGGTAAATTAGTTCGCTACTAGTGTGATAACCCACTGAACACCAGTGATGCTTTGGGTTAGAATGGTCACTCTGAGACTGCAGAAACTGTGGAGTTTTAACACATATGTTTATAGTCAAAAGGAAAGGGATTATATACAGGAAAAAAGAAAAAGGGAGAAATATTAAGATGCTTTCTATATTCTGACTCATATACCTGTGTTGACAATGATGTAATTAATTTACTGTTTAAGGAACACCGAAGCAGGGTAAAGCTAAGAGAAGACTGTGATATTTGTTTTGACATATGGAATTTAAGATGATTTAGAAGTATCCAAGAAGATATTTGAAAATTAGGGGAACATACAGGTCTACATTTCAAAGAGGTTTGCTCTAAAATTATCAATGGTATTAATTTGGACATCACTATATAGACTATAGTTGAAACCATAATTATGCTTAAAATTGAGAGTGAAGAGGAAAAGGTCAGAAAAAGAGGAGGAAAAGAGAAAAAGAAAGAGAGTGTGTGGGAGAGAAACAAGGGGAAGAGTACTATTTCTGAGAGAATTGAAAACATAACTTTTGGGTAGAAAGGGTGAGCCCACGAAGGACACTGGAAAGGAACTATCAGAGAGGAAGGGAGAAACAGGTGTGTGTGCTGACAGAAGCCAAGCAGGTGTGTCAAGAAACCTTTTTAAGACTTTTTAACCTGTCAGGGCTGAGAAGTCAAGTGAAAATGAAAGTTTAAACTATCCATCAAATCTAATTACATGAAGTATAGAGTGCAGTAGAGTAAACCAGGTTGGAGGGGTTGGGGGGAAATTGATGAATCCCAGATGTATAACACTGGCACAGACACATGCATTAATATATTGCAACTGTCTTCTATATACCTATCTTTATGGCTAATATTTGAACATCCAAAAAATCCTGCCCCCAGTAGAATTATCATCTCCCAACAGAAGTTGCCTGTTCTCTCATGAAATATACTTTACCTTGTGATCAAAGTCAGAAACTAGCTTTCATGCTTGATATCTCCTTCTCCCTTGCCTCTTAATTTCACCAGTTAGTTAATGTCTGAATTCTGTCTCTGATTCCTTTGTGGAAAATGCAAACATATCAACATATATTGCCCTTTCCATGGTCCAGATCACCATTATCATTGCTTAGCTTCTATAGCAACTCATCTAACTGATTTGTCTACTTGCAATTCTCAGCCCATCTCCATTTATTCTCTATTCTTCAACCCATGTTATCATCTTAAAATGCAAATGTGTTCCCTTCCTTATTTTTATATTTAAGCTGTTCCATAAGAATGTGATCACAAAAATATATTCATAAACAACAGATTTTGCTGAAAATGTGGATATAGAAGACACTGAGTAGGCTATGCAAAATCCTGGAGTATTTGTCTGTTCAGTCATCAGTATACTGTCACCAGGTATCAATTTTATCTTACCTTCCACCAAGCTGCCCATTGTTTATATATTTTTGCTCTAGTTTTTTCATCAGTCTTTCAAATAAATATTTTTTTCACCATATCTTGGGGAGAAACTCTTAACTTTCTCTCTTCAGGAAAATAGAATTTGGTCAACTCAAGCTTCTGCCTTAAAGCCGTTTCTAAAACAGAATCCCTATGTAGCTCAGTACCATCAATATTGATGTAGATTTTGAGGTCTTTGTCTACTACTTCCCTTGAATATTTTTTGATAATTTGAGCTAATACAATTTATGTCTATTCTTTGATTGGAATTGACAAGTCCATATAGATGATCACAAAGCACTTTGAAGATTTCTCACAGAGCTGAAGGTGGTATTCTTAACTATATAGTGTCTATACAACTGTAGAAAACGTTGAAACATTTTCTAGATGCTCGTGAAGTGTATCGAAGTATGTAGTTTAAATGAAGCAGAAGTAGCTATGTTGTTTGGAGATTCATAACTGAATTATAAAATTATAAGTAAAATCAAAGAAGTAGTTATATAAATAAGGATTTTGTTTTATACTAAAAAAAAAAATAAGGATAGTGGTTATTTGGGGGCAGTAATTGCTATCCTTATTTATATAACTACTTGTTTTCTGCCCCTACTCCCATATCACTGTTACTCTATTCTTCTGTTTATGTGAGTAAACTTATGTAAGTTTATGTGAGTAAACTTAATCACCAAGGTCTTCATTTCTATTCATGAATTGGGATCTACTAATTTATTCATATAGTAAAATATATCAGAATTGCCTTTCTTTTGAAAGGTGAAGGATAGTTCTTTGCATCTATGTATTTTGTTTATACATTCATCCATTGACTGACACATGGATGACTTCCACTTCCTGGCAATTGTAAATAATGCTATTACCATGAGTGTACATATATCTGATCCTCATCTTCATTTCTTTTGCATGTATGCCCACAAGTGGACTTGTTGGATATGGACTTTAATTTTTTGAGGACTTTGAAAGAGTAGTAAACTTTGAAAGAGGAAGTCTAATGCCTTTATATGTGATATTCTCATTCAAGACTCTATTGGATATCTAATGCCCCTTGAGATTCCATTTGAATTTTACAATGAATTTTTCAATGTGTAAAAATATCATTGGGATATTGATAGGGATTGCACTGAATCTGTGAATCACTTTTGGTGGTATTAACATCTTGACATTATTAAATTTTCCAGTTCATGACCATGAGATGTTGTTCTAATCAACTTTCTAAAATACTTCCCAGGACACAAATATTTCATCACATTGATTAAGCTTATTCTTAGTATCTTATCAGTTTTGAAACAATTGAAATTAGAATTATTTTGTTGTAATTTAGCCTTTTGGAGAAGGAAATGGCAACCCACCCCAGTATTATTGTCTGGAAAATCCCATGGATGGAGGAGCCTGGTAGGCTACATTTCATGGGGTTGCAAAGAGTCAGACTGAGCAACTTCACTTTCACTTTTAGCCTTTGGATTGTTTATTGTTAGTGTATAGAAATATGAGTTTTGCATGTTGGCTTTGTATCCTGCAACTTTGCTCAAATTGTTTATTAGTTCTAGCAAGGTTTTGTGTGTGTGTGTGTAGAATCTTTAGGATTTTTCTAGGTATTAAATCATGTTCCTGTGAACAATTTTCCTTTCCAATTTAGATGCCTTTTATTAATATTTGTTTATTTTTTCCTAACTGTTCTGGCTAGGACTTCCAGTACTATGTTGAAAAGTGGGGAGAAGTGTTGAAGTGGACAGAACGAGCATCTTTGCCTTGCTCCTGATTTAGTAGAAAATCTTTGAGTCTTTCACCATTAAGTGTGATGTTAGCAGTAGGTACTTTACATAGAGCTTTTTCTTGTTGAGATAGTTTCCTTTAATTCTTCATTTGTTGAGTGTTTTTGAATCATGAAAACATGTTGGATATTGTCAAATGCTATTTTTGCAATAAGTGATGTGATCATGTGGTCTTTCCCTTCATTCTGTTTATGTGATATTACACTAAAGAATTTTCTTAGTTTGAACTATCTTGCATGCCAGGAGTAAATCCAATTTTATTATGGTTTTTAATCTTTTCAATATGTTGTTGAATTTGTTATTAATTTGTTGAGGAATTTTGCACCCTATGTTTCATAAGTGATATTGGTCTTTAGCTTTTTCTTACACTGTTTTTCTGGCTTTTGTACCAAAGTAATTCTTGCTTAAATGAATGCTTTTGGAAATCTTTCATACTCTTCAATTTTTTGGAAGAATATGAAGAGAATTGGTGTTAACACTTTGTTGAATATTTGGTAGAAGTCACCAGGAAAGCCAACAAAATGGGTTTTTCTTTGTATTCAGTTAGTTGCTTTATTCATTCCCTTATGAATTATGGACTCCCGGGGGCTTCCCAGTTGGTGACAGCAATAGAGAATCTCCCTGCCAATGCAAGAGAAGCAAGATATGTGATTTTGATCCCTGCATCAGGAAGATCCCCTGAAGTAGGTAATGGCAACCCCCTCTGCTATTCTTGTCTGGAAAATTCCATGAACAAAGGAGCTGGTGGGTTGCAATCCATGGGGGTGCAAAGAGTTGGACAAGACTGAGAGACTGACCACACACACCACAAACACAGAGAGAATATTCTGACCTGATAACACACTGCAGAACTTAGTAGTTTCTGAAATGCATGCATGTGTGCACGCTGTCACTTCAGTCGTGTCGGACTCTTTGCCACCCTTTGCGGAATATAGCCCACCAGGCTCCTCTGTCTATGGGATTCTCCAGACAAGGATACCTGAGTGGGTTGCCATGCCCTCTTCCAGGGGATCTTCCCAACCCAAGGATTGAACCCCTGTCTCACACGTTTCCTGCACTGGCAGGCAGGTTCTTTACCACTAGTGTCACCTGGGAAGCCCTCTGAAGTGTATATAATAAGTCTCAAAGTGTTGCTTGAATGAGTGACTGAAGTTGAGCTATCCTTATAAAATCAAATGATAGGAAACCCTAACAAAGCTGACAACATCACTCAGTTTAAAAGATTGAATGTTACAGATCTTAGCCAAATTTTGGACTTAGAAAAAGCCCAAGCACTCTCAGTTTTCTAAAATGTGGTAAAAATGTTGGGCTATAACTCTGGTGTTCCTTATAGAATTAACAGTTTCTCATACGATTCTTTCAGGATCTCAGAAGTTCTGTGCTTAAAATCAGCAGTTTTCTTGAGAAAGAACTGAGTGAAGAGGATCTGGATGCTGTTGTGAATCAGGCTACATTTCAGAACATGAAGCTTGATCCTCAAGCTAATTATGATCGTATTATTAAATATGAGGTCGGGGTGAGAACAAACGAGGGACAATTCCTGCACAAAGGTGGGTTAAGTAGGTAATAGAAGCAAACGTGTTGAGACTTGTCTTGAGTCCTTGGCTGCTAGATTAAGTTAAAAGTGGCCTGCAACATGTCTCTCCAAGAATCATCACTGAAGTCAAACAGAGACTCAATGATCCTAACTAAGATGAACCTGAAAATTAGTCCAGGAAACAGAACAGAACTTCAGTACCTGACTAATAAATATTAGGTTCCTTCTTTCTAGACCATATGACCCTATTTTTTAAAATTTGTTTAAAAGTCTTACCTAAAGGCAAAAGATATGTGTCCAGGAGAGCTCCAATTCTTGGTTTACCTTATCGCTCTGTAGAACATTCTAGACAGAAGGTTAATATGTATTTTGTTTTGAGAAGGATTTTTATATCATTACTTTCCCCTCAAGTTCATTATTCTTCATTGTAAAAAGTGGATTAATACCTCATTAACCCAATCTGCTATGAATTCTATCATCCAACAATATGAATAAATTTTTTTTATGCTCCATTAAGTTGCCAGGGGTTGCTAAGAATAAATATATTTTCTCCTGATACTCCTTAATTTCAATTTTTTCATTTCATCTTTTTAATGTACATTATTCTAAAACATAATTTGCACTTATCTACATCACTAGACTCATATTTTATCCTAATATATTCATTACAGCACTAAGACAATAGACACTGATTAAATTTTAATTGTGTAAAGATCTTATTAAAATTACCATGGATACCAATATTTTAAAAAGTCATTGCTTCCTTTTTGTCCCATTTATTATCAGTTTTCACTTCCCATTGCTCAACTAGATCTGATATAAAGCATTTCTCATGCCCATGTAACTAACTTACTGCCAAATGACCATAATATTTACAAAATAAATTCTGATAACTAAAGATGCCAGTTTATTCATCTTTATTACATAATTGAATTAATGTTGGTTTCAAACTTCCATCAAGTGAAACTTTTGTATTAATGACAGCCCTTGGCACCCTCTGTTCCTTGAATTTATGACTTGAAAATCTGTTTGTAATGGTTCCTCTTTCCATGGGATGCTCCAGGCAAAAATACTAGAGTGGCTTGCCATGCCCTCCTCCAGGGGATCTTGCTGACCCAGGGATCAAACCCCAGTCTCTGTGTCTCCTACACTGGCAGGCGGGATACAGTTTATTTACAATATTATATTAGTTTCAGTTGTACAGCATAGTTCAGTTCAGTTGCTCAGTTGTGTCTGACTCTTTGCGACCCACGGACTGCACATGCCAGGCTTTCCTGTCCATCAGCAACTCCTGGAGTTTACTCAGACCCCCCTGTCCATTGAGTCAGTGATGCCATCCAGTCATCTCATTCTCTGCCATCCCCTTCTCCTTCCGCCTTCATCTTTCCCAGCATCAGGGTCTTTTGTAATGAGATGGTTCTTCGCATCAGGTGGCCAAAGTATTGAAGTTTCAGCTTCAACATCAGTTCTTCCAATGGATATTCAGGACTGATTTCCTTTAGGATGGACTGGATAGATCTCTGTGCCATCCAAGGGACTCTCAAGAGTCTTCTCCAACACCACAGTTCAAAAGCATCAATTCTTTGGCTCTCAGCTTTCTTTATAGTCCAACTAGATGGACCTTTGTTGACAAAGTAATGTCTCTGCTTTTTAATATGCTGTCTAGGCTGGTCATAACTTTTCTTCCAAGGAGCAAGTATCTTTTAATTTTATGGTTGCACTCACGACCTGAAGTGATTTTGGAGCCCAAAAAAATAAAGTCTGACACTGTTTCCACTGTTTCCCATCTATTTGCCATGAAGTGATGGGGCTGGATGCCATGATCTTAGTTTTCTGAATGTTGAGTTTGAAGCCAACTTTTTCACTCTCCTCTTTCACTTTCAAGAGGCTCTTTAGTTCTTCTTCACTTTCTGCCATAAGGGTTGTGTCGTCTGCATATCTGAGGTTATTGATATTTCTCCCGGCAATCTTGATTACAGCTTGTGCTTCTTCCAGCCCAGCATTCCCGCATGATGTACTCTGCATATAAGTTAAATAAGCAGAGTGACAGTATACAGCCTTGATGTACTCCTTTCCCAATTTGGAACCAGTCTGTTGTTCCACGTCTAGTTCTAATTGCCGCTTCCTGACTCGCAAAAGAGACAGGTCAGTTGGTCTGGTAGTCTCATCTCTTTTAAGATTTTCCAGTTTGTTGTGATCCACATAGTAAAAGACTTTGGCATAGTCAATAAAACAGAAGTACATGTTTTTCTGGAACTCTCTTACTTCTTCGGTGATGCAACAGATATTGGCAATTTGATCTCTGGTTCCTCTCCTTTTCTAAATCCAGCTTGAACATTTGGAAGTTCATAGTTCACATACTGTTGAAGTCTAGCTTGGAGAATTTTGAGCATTACTTTACTAGCGTGTGAGATGAATGCAATTCTGTGGTAGTTTGAGCATTCTTTGGCATTGCCTTTCTTTGGGATTAGAATAAAAACTGACCATTTCTAGTCCTATGGCCACTGCTGAGTTTTCCCAGTTTTCTGGCATATTGAGTGCAGCATCATCTTTTAGGATTTGAAATAGCTCAACTGGAATTCCATCATCTCCACTAGCTTTGTTCATAGTGATGTTTCCTAAGGCCCACTTGACTTCACATTCCAGGATGTCTGGCTCTGAGTGATCACATCATTGTGATTATCTGGGTCGTGTAGATCTTTTTTGTATAGTTCTTCTGTGTATTCTTGCCACCTCTTCTTAATATCTTCTGCTTCTGTTAGGTCCATACCACTTGTGTCCTTTATCAATCCCATCTTTGCATGAAATATTCCCTTGATATCTCTAATTTTCTTGAAGAGATCTCTAGTGTTTCCTATTCTATTGTTTTCCTCTATTTCTCTGTATTGATCACTGAGGGAGAAGGCTTTCTTATCTCTCCTTGCTATTCTATGGAACTCTGCATTCATACATGTGTTACATGTGTAACTTTCTGATAGTCCTGGTTTTCCAGGAGTCTGACTGCCTATTTCTAGGTAGGATTCTTTCTGTGAGAAAGAATCAGTGAGAAGCAATGTTTCAATGAGAATTCTTCCACATGAAGGTGGATTTTTGATATGTTCTTGGGGAGAGGGGAAGTTCAACTCCTTTTGCTCACCATCTTGATCTCTCTTCTACTTAAAAATCTTTGGGTCTCTCTCTCTCTTTTTTTGCAACTTTAAAGATGAAGAAAATACTTACTTTGAAGGGTATCATTAAGAACTACATTATCTGATATAATAGATGTGGTTTGCCAGTATGGTGTGTGGAACTTTGTAAGATATATTTAAATATTCTAATCTCTTTGCATATTTAGCTTTATTTTTCCTTCTTAAGAAAGTTCTATATTACTGGTAGTGGATAATGAAAGTCTAAGATAAGGAAGTGGATTATAGCTCTATTTTCTGTGTTACTGTGTCTTAAGTGTGTTTTTAGTTCAGCCATGTATAAGAAAAAGTGAGGCATCAAATGCCATGGAAAACAAATAGAGATTTATCTCCTTGTGAAGATAATAAAGTGGATTGAAGGAAGCTTTTGCCCCAACAGTGCTGCTCCTCACCCAGGGCGGTCTCTGTGTTTGTCCCACCAGGTACCATCGGAGACTGGAAACACAACTTGACGGTGGAGCAAAATGAACGATTTGACAGAGTATTCCAAAGGAAGATGAAAGATTTTCCCTTGAAGTTCATCTGGGAAACAGATGAGGAGTAGGATCAGTGCAAAGTACAATGATATTGTAAAAATCTAACAACTGGAAAGCATATTTTAATACAGACATTAATTTGTGCTCCTCATACAAACATTAATTATAAAACTTTCTTAATTAACAAAATAAGTAAACTGCTTAGATTCATTTCCATGCCTTTAATGAAACTTTGAGATTTCACTCATTAAAATGATTTGGATAATCTGCATTTTGGCCTATATGATAAAGTGAAAGAAAGAAAGCATGCAACATGAATATTTTGAGTGTTTTCCATAGCAGGCATTCATTGTTTATCTATAATTTTCTACCTGAAATTTGATATTTTGGCTTAAAACCAATGTGAATATTGAGTAAATAGAGAAATCACATGCACCTGAGAAGCAGATGCATCTGTTTAATGATTTACCAGATCATAAAGTTTACCCTAAGGAATTAAGGCTCAAAGGTAGATGGATCATCTAATGGTCCAATTATTTAACTATTTGAATGGAAAGAAATATTTGTATCTTTATCACTCACTAAAATAATTCTATGTGTATTAAGAGTTGAATATTTAGAATAAAATTACTTTGAACAACAAGAAAAATATAGATAAATATGTCTTTTAATTACTAGATGGAGAAAACCTTGTGATGCATAAAGTGTTGTAACAAAATTAATAAAGTTTATAAATTCACAAACACTTCAAAGTATCACCCTCCATAACAGTCAATAAATAAAAACAACTCGATACTTAAGTATAGTAAAATAAGTAAGTACATTGTAGTATTTCATATAAGAAAACTCTATACATCTGTAAGGATGCAAGAATTGCCATTACATGGTAAATGTATGTTAACCCCAGAAACATGGTATGCACTGGAAGAAAATCTGTATGTTTGTTTCAGAATTCATTATACAAGACAGGAAAATTGATAAATTTAAACTATGGATTTAGAAAGGGTGTGGTTAGCTTTGCAGAGGGAGGAGTATAGTAATTGGTCAGGCAAATGAGATCGATCATTCCTGAGTATTCAGTCAATTCAGTCGCTCAGCCATGTCCAACTCTCTGCGACCCCATGGACTGCAGCATGCCAGTTTTCCTGTCCGTCACCAACTCCCAGAGCCTGCTCAAACTCAAGTCCATCGAGTCAGGGATGCCATCCAACCATCTCATCTTCAGTCATCCCCTTCTCCTCCTGCCTTCAATCTTTTCCTGCATCAGGGCCTCTTGCAGTGAGTCAGTTCTTCACATCAGGTGGCCAAAGTATTGCATGTTGGTATTGGATCCTGGGGGTTGGTAATACTCTGTTTTTTTTTAATCTTAGTACTGGTTCCATAGGTGTGGTCACTTTTTCAATATTATTAAGCTGTACTTGTGAAATTTTGTGCATTTTGTCAAATGTTAATAAAGTATGAAATAACTAATAAACATGAAATCATTCTGTTAGAGCAGATCTCTCCCCACAAACTCTTGAAGTTTATAGAAAAGACAAAACATTGATTCAAAATAAGCAAAAGTTTAAAAACTAAGTAATGCTCAATGTTAAGAGAGAGTAAGGTAAAATAAATGTTCTCTTAAATAAACTGTGGAAATGGAAATCAGTTCAAATATACTTCATAACTCTTTGAAACAAATTTTTAAAATCCTAAAAAATAGTCACATTCTATAATCCTGTAATTTTACTTTAAAAATTTCTGATTACTTCAATGAACTCAATCTTCTGCAATTAAAATTTTACCTTTACTACATTTCTTTTTTAACCAACAAACATTTCCATTTCCATGAAATTGGTGTATTTTTACTGCACAGATATACACACATTCATCTCTTTGTGAAGAACAGGAATCTGGAGTTTTCTCTCATTTTTTGAACTCTTTTCCCTTGCATCTTGGCTAAACACTTTGTTACACATAAAAATAATCTACTTCTAACCAGATTATGTAAAACAGGGTTCATGTGTGTGTGCTAAGTCACTTCAGTTTTATCTGTCTCTTTGCAACCCTAGGGACTGCAGCCCGCCAGGCTCCTTTGCTTATGGGATTCTCCAGGCAAGAATACCGGAGTGAGTTGCCATGCCCTTCTGCAGGGTATCTTCCCAACCCAGGGGTTGAACCCATGTCTCTTATATCTCCTTCATTGGTAGGTGGGTTCTTTACCACTAGCACCACCTGGGAAGCAAAACAGAGTGTTCATCAAAATGATTAATCCCCATTCTTATATCCAGGACCCAGGCACATACTAAGGAAGTAAACAGCATAATTTCTGCCTCTATGACTTGACTTTTCTGGACATTGAAGTTCATTAATGTTGTACCATTGTATTAACATTTTTTTCCAGTTTTATTCCTAATAGTATGCTGTTTTATGGATATACAATAAACATATTTTATAAAATTTACCAACTATATACATAACATACATTAATTTTGTGCAATGTTAATTATAGTTCAGTTTTAGCAAAGAGCATTGTGGGAAAGAAAAGAAAGAAAAATAGAAGAGGTGGGGTATGGTAAGATGCAGAATTGCTCTCTGAGAGCATAGAAAAGTCCCATCAAGCTCTATGAAGGATGAAGAAGTGATAATAGAACCTACATAAATATTTATGAATTTTGTAGAATGTAAATTACCTGCATAATAAGAGGCAATCTGTGGCATCAAAATACAAAAGGTGAGGAGAAAAGGGTAAATATAAAGGCAAATAAAGATAAATTTTTATCAGCAGGAAAAAAAAAGACTATTTTAAACTATTCGATGTTTTATGTAAGCTTCTAGACTAAAGATATGAAACATAAAATAAAGGGGGACCTAGCACATGACTATGGAAAAACCACCAATTCATAAAGAAAGAAAGATAAAAAATGGAGTTACAAAATATCTAGAAGTCAAAAAATAAGGTGGGAGTAGTAATTCCTTCCATGTCAATAATCACTTCAATGTAAAGGAAAAAACAATAAAGATCAAAGTGGAACAAAATGGATCATCAACAAGAAAAACAAAAGTAAAGGTCAACCAAAGAGCTGGTTCTTCAAGATAAATAAAATTGACCAACTGTTAACTAGACTGAGATAAAAAGAGAGAAGGCTGAAAGAAATACAATTAGAAATGAAAAATGAGACATTACAGGGGATACTACAGAAACACATAGAATCATAAAACATTATTATGAAAAATGATATGCCGATGAATTACAAAACCAGGCAGAAATGTATATATTTCTAGAAATACAATCTACCAAGACTGAATGAAAAAGAAAGAAACAATGTGAGCAGAAAAATACTGAGATTAAGTATGTAATCAAAAGCTTCCCAATATAGAAAGCACCAGGATATGAAGTCTTTACTACCAAAGTCTACAAAATATCTAAAAATTAACCCAAATTCTCCTCAAAATCTTCCAAAGTGTCAAGGATAAGGGAATATTTACAAACTTATTCTAGGAGGCCAAAAATACCCTGGTACAAAAAGCACATTAAAATACCACAAGAAATGGAAACCATTTGTCATCATCCCTGATGAATAAAGATGCAAAAGTTCTCACCAAAATATTAGCAAGATGAATTTAAGAACATATTAAAAAAATTATACACTGTGGCCATGTGAGATTTATCCCTGGAATCAAAGATGATTCAACAAAAAGAAACCAATAATTATAATATATCAAATCAATTACATGAAGGGTAAAAAAATAATATCATCTCAATAGGTACAGGAAAATAATTTTTTTTAATATATAGTTTTGTAAAGAAATAAAGCATTAATAGATTGGGTATAGAAGGAAAATATTTCAACTTAATAAAAACCACATACAACAAACTCACAGCTAACATCATCTTCAGTAACAAAAGTTTAAAACCTTTCCTCTAGGAGCAGCAACAAGACAACCATGCCCACTCTATTCACTCCTATTCAACATATTTTAAGTCCTTCCAAAGAAGAATCTTGAGAGTCCCTTGGACTGCAAGGAGATCCAACCACTCCATCCTAAAGGAAATCAGTTCTGAATATTCATTGGAAGGACTGATGTGAAGCTGAAACTCCAATACTTTGGCCACCTGATGCAAAGAACCGACTCATTTGAAAAGACCCTGATGCTGGGAGAGATTGAAGGCAGGAGGAGAAGGGGATGACAGAGGATGAGATGGTTGGATGGCATCACTGAGTCAATGGATATGAGTTTGAGTAAACGCCGGGAGTTGGTGATGGACAGGGAGGCCTGGTGCACTGTGGTCCATGGGGTCGCAAAGAGTCGGACACGACTGAGCGACTGAACTGAACTGAGATTTAAGAAACAGTGTAAGCAACATGAAAGTGTGTACTCGCTCAGTCGTATCCGACTCTTTGCGACCCTGTGGACTGTAGCCCACCAGGCTCCTCTGTCCATGGGATTCTCCAGGCAAGAATACTGGAGTGGGTTGCTGCTTCCTTCTCCAGGGGATCTTCCCAACAAAGGGATAAAACCTGGGTCTCCTGCATCACAGGTACATGCTTTGACCTCTGAGCCAGTAGAGAAGCACAAGGAACATGAGGTGGTACATACTGAGTGTGCAGCAGGATCAATAAAACCTTTGAATGCTAAGACTTGGGCAGCTCGTTGAGGACAGCAAATGGTAAATAAAGACAGGCATTTTGTGGAGGAGAGATAAAAGTTAAGAACTAGCCAGAATAGGACCGGGAATAAGTTTTCTGATTTTGTTTTTAGGTTTTGATTTTTGACCTCTCTGTCCCTGGAGTTGGCCTCAGTGGTACAGCAGTGTTGTTCTCAGTCACTTCAGTCGTGCCTGACTCTTTGGATCCCTCGGACCAAAGCCCTCCAGTCTCCTCTGTCAGGCCATGAGCACTGTCGTGGCATGCTCTCCTTCAGGAGATCTTTCAACCTAGGGGTCAAACCCTAGTCTCCTGCATGGCAGAGGGGTTCTTTACCTGTGAGCCACTGAGGAACTTGGCAACTGAAAACATGATAGAGTCTTTAATCACTAGATGGCACTTGAGAACCTAACGTTTTTCAAGACAATGGTCTTGATCTG